CTCCATGCCTCCCCAGAAATAAGTAACAGATTTACTCTCCCAGTAGTCTAACTGGGCCATTACTTTATCAAAGAGAAGATAGCCATCATTCACTGGTTTGGGAACAGGGGATGTCTATTTCCCAACTGTATTCCATTGTCAATGTCAAAAAAAGAAGAAAAATGTGATTCCAAACTCTGTTTGAACCTAAGTTTCAAAACTTGACACTGACAAAAAAAAAAATGAAGGTTCAAGTGTCTTGTGTTGATTCTTATCTCCAAAATTGAAAAGAGTGATAAGTTGGTAGGATGATGAAATCTTAACCCTTTGGGGGGAGAAGGGTGGGGTATAAATATAGGAAATAATAAATAAATTAACTGTTATTCTATTTCAAGTAATGAAATTGTCACATATTTTGATACAGGAAACAATTCACAATGTGCCTAATTTTAGTCCCTTGATGCTTTAAGGAAATTTAAGGACATGGAATTCTGTTACATTAATAAAGAGGAACTACAGATAGAATCAGCATGTTGTGTTGGGTTGTAAACTTTTTGAAATACACACACCGATATTTCTCTTTTACTGTAATAATTTGGTAAGATATTTTATTACATCTCAACACATGATGGCAGTAGCGGTCCACAAAATTATGATATAAATGTGAACTAATTGTCAACAACTTAAGTACATTTACAACAAAATCCACAAAACAAACCTATTCCTTTATTTGCCAACCAAAATGTAGAAAATATACCATGCAAACTTTTGAAGTTTCATGAAAGAAAAATGGTGACAACTTGATAACGTTAGATAAGAGATCTACATCTTCTGAGGTGTTGTCAATTTCGATCAGATTGGGGGTTTTCAATGCAGGCAGAAGAAACTCTCAGTGATAGGTAAGCCTGCCACAGCCAACAGGCAAAGCCTAAGGCAGGAGAGGGGAGGGGTATTTGAAGGTCGGACTTGGTGGGCTAGTTGACTGCAGGATACTTAACCTCTCTGCCTTCCTCTTTACTTCAGTGTGACACCCCCCCCCCCCCGGACAGTATAAGTTTACAGTGGTCACACAAGGACCAGGTAGGAATCCAACCCCTAAGTGTTCCTTGGCAGGGTTTTGCTTCTGTTTCAGAAAGGTGTGGTAATTGGCTTTGATGGCTTTGGGTTGTTGTAGGTTTTCCTGGGCTATATGGCCATGTTCTAGAGGCATTTTCTTCTGACGTTTCGCCTGCATCTATGGCAAGCATCGTCAGAGGTAGTGAGGTCTGTTGGAAGTAGGAAAATGGGTTTATATATCTGTGGAATGACCTGGGTGGGACAAAGGACTTATGTCTGCTGGAGCTAGCTGTGAATGTTTGAACTGACCACCTTGATTAGCATTTAATGGCTTGGAAGTGCCGGGGGGAATCTTTTGTTGAGAGTGAATTGATGTGCCTAATTGTTTACTCTGTTGTTTTACTGTTGTAATTTTTGAGTTTTTTAATACTCCAAACACAGCGCCCAAACACGAATCAAGGAACATGAAAGGCACTGCAGACTACTTAACCAGAGAAATCAGCCATAGCAGAGCACCTGATGAACCAACCTGGACACAGCATATTATTTGAGAACACAGACATGCTGGACCACTCTCATAACCACCATGTCAGACTACACAGAGAAGCCATTGAAATCCACAAGCATGTGGACAGTTTCAACAGAAAGGAAGAAACCATGAAAATGAACAAAATCTGGCTACCAGTATTAAAAAACTCAAAAAATACAACAGTAAAACAACAGAGAGTAAACAATCAGGCACATCAATTCACCCTCAACAAAAGATTCCCCCCAGGCACTTCCAAGCCATTAAATGCTAATCAAGGTGGTCAGTTGAAACATTCACACCTAGCTCCAGCAGACATAAGTCCTTTGTCCCACCCTGGTCATTCCACAGATATATAAACCCATTTTCCTACTTCCAACAGACCTCACTACCTCTGAGGATGCTTGCCATAGATGCAAGTGAAACGTCAGGAGAAAATGCCTCCAGAACATTGCCATATAGCTCGGGAAAACCTACAACAACCCAGTGATTCCGGCCATGAAAGCCTTCGACAATACTTTGATGGCTTTGATGGAGTCACTTCAGTAGGTTTCCCTGAGTTAGTTAAAAAGGTTCTCTAGCATGATAAATGTGACATAGCCCTGTTAGGCACTGTATCACCCGCCCCCCTCCCCAGGAGGTGAAGGGTAGACTTCCATAACAGTTTTGGGGGGCAGGGACCTGAAAAGAGGAGCTACCCTTGGGGCTGAAATGAGGGTTCTCATTCTTAAAAACTCAGAGGTTTGGGAGATCAAGTTTTCCCTAAAGCTTCACCATACTTCATTTTGAAATTAAATGGAGGATTTTCCTACTTCCATCACACCTACGCCTTCTCTCCACTTTTGTTAAGATTTATTTATTTGATTTGCCATTACACAGTAAAGACTTGTTTCCTACACTGCCCCCCCCCCCCCCGTTCCTTTTCTTTTTTAAAAACTTCTATCTCAGAGGTTCAACTTGCAGCCCAAGAAGGGGAATATTCTTACATTCTTACAGGAGGGAGGGGGGAAATGAAGGTTTAGCTTTCTTAAATCTCTCTGCTATTCTTTTGATAGGCAAAAGCAGCACAACAGGAATTTCATCAGGCAAGAGTTCAAAAGGACTTTAATGACCTGACACAGGAAGAGAGGGGGATATTGAAAGAGGGAGCTTGCTAGAGACAGAAGCTCAGGATTTGCATGCCTGCTTATTTTCTCCTGAATGTTTTGAATATCTTGTTTGCTATATCTCCTCAGTCCCAAAATGGTAAGTCCCAAAATGGTAATGGTGGCAGAAAGGAATCAATTCTGCCCATCTCAATTCTGCCAACATAATCATTTTATTTACATACAGGCAAGGGGGCATTCCCAAGACATGTTAATTTGGGTGTTTTTACACATCTCTATGTGGGGAATTGAGGAATACATCACTTGCCAATTGACTCAGGAATCATGGGAAAACCCCAACTTTAGAAATGGCAAGATACCTCTACCCTATATTTGAAGCTTGTGTAATGTGAAGGGCACGATCAGTGGCAGTTTCTTAAGTGTGCAGAATCGTTTATATAATTGTGTGCAATGAAGTCACTAATCATGTCATTCCTACCGTGTAGAATGTGAGAACATAGAATTTGACTGCAATCCTTATTGTATAGGAACTTGAGGCCCACACATTTGTATTCCAGAAATGTTCCAGTTTACAAAGGGAGAACAATGAACTGCAGGGATGTAAGCGGAAGGATTTGTATTTTGTAGTTGTTTGTTACAATGTTTGTTTTCTTACCAGAAGACCTCTCTGACTACACTTTCAGTAAATGCAAACTGGTGACTCTTGAAATAGAAGGTCAACACACTTCAGCAATGGATTGACACTTTTCACTGAATCAAAGAACATGAGAACATCCTGGATAGCACAGAGGGAGAATTGATTTTTCAAAATCCACAGAAAGAAACTGCCAAAAAATTGAAGAGAACTGTGTCATTGAGAAATCACCCTGGAGGATAGTCATTGTTAGGAGCAGGCCATACCCAAGTATTTCTGAACCACTTGAAATACTCAGCAATCACTTTCTTGAAGATAATGGTGCGAAGAAGGAGACCAGAAACAAGAGCCAGGCATCCTGAAACTGTGGCCCTCCAGCTGTTTGGGCCTCCAACTCCCAGAAGCCCTAACAAGCTTGTTCAATTGTCAGGAATTCTGGGAGTTGAAGGCCCAAGCAGCTCTCCAGCTGTTTGGGCCACAGTTAGAGGATGCCTGCAACAGTCATGGTAAGCTAAGGAGGAGTCAACTTAACCATTAACTGTAGTAAGAAGAAAATAGAGATGCTGGTAATAGAGGACATAATGAGATTCAGGTTACCACAAGGTCCTAGAAATGCATAGAGAGCACATTTTTAATGTGGCTAGCTGAAACCATGGGTAGTGCTCCTGCAAGTGTAGAGGTCATCGTGTAGATACATTCACACATTCCCAATAATAAAACAGAAACACTATTTACAAGTTTATTTCAGCACTTCAAGTCTCATGCCTTTAAATCTTTAAATAGCCTGGGTCTTAATTAGTTCAGAGAATGTTTCTTTCCCAGAATACTCTATCAATGAATTCCTACTTTATCTTACACGGAAATGGGATCGATTCCATAAAATATAGACTTTTTTGCTCTTTTGAAACAGAATTTTCTTTGTCTCATTTCTGTAATGTTGGAATGGCTTCCTATGAAAGATTGATGCACCTCATAAGTCCTTTCTCAATATCTTTCCAAATATACATTTAATGCTTCTGTTTCGGTGCTTTTGACTGTATATTTCAAACAATAAATATACAGTTTTTAAAATACTATTTTAGTACTATTTTATTTGATATTTCATTTTTAAAATAAGCTTCATGGCCATTGCAATGAATATGACAAGCAGATGAATGAAGATGTAAGACAAACATAAAATGAAATGCAATAGATTGGCTTCCAGTTAAACATTTGGTGACACCTAGTTTGTTACTTTGTAATGTGTGAAATTACCATTTTATGCACTGCTGTATTTCAAAAATCTACTTCTAGAGGAATATTGTCAAAGATACCAAAGATCCTTGAGGTGGATATTAGACAGTAGAATGCCAGTGAGGAAAGTATGTGACTGAAATGAAAATATAGATCAAATGATGAGGACAAGATATTTTTTGGAGATGCTCATTTAAGCATATTCTAAAAACAATAGTGCTTCATCTCCCCATGGCATTATTAAAACATACAAAGAACATTTCATATAATTCCTTCAAAATACCTAATATATTTCTTCAATTATTTCCATAGTATCAGGATAACTTAACATATTTGAAAATATCTTTTTAACAGAAAAATGTTATTGCTAATCACAGACACGAGACAAGCTTAGTAGATATGCAAAGCAGAACATTGCACTTCTTTGTTACTATCTTTTTCAATGATGAGTACAAAAAACACCATATTTTCTTAAGCATACTTTTATTTACTTACTGTTTCCACATTTTATATCTAGTGCAAGGCAACACTGATATATTATACAAAGGTATATTTATATTTATTATTAATCATTCATAAAATAACCCAGTTTCTCATCTGGTAACTATATGTAGGTAGGAGGCTGCCTAAAAGAACTTTCATATATCAAGACCAGGAACATAGAATATAATTAAGAACAAGTTAGCATGGATCACTGATTATATACATTCATTATATAGCTTCACTAATAAAGTAGATAAAATTGTAAACTAGGAAAAATTAACATCAACCCTATATATTTTTAACAATCAACGTTTATATATTTTCTTCTTTTAACATCAACTAATCTGTATTCCATGGTATAATTTAGAGCATTAATTCGATTCAGTACTTTGTGTTTCATCTGCCACTATTAACTCCCTTTTTTACCTCAATTAACTCATAATACTATGAGCTTTTAAATATTATATGTTTACTTGCAAAAGAAATTATGCTACCTAACATTTTTATTACTGTCTGAATTTAAAAAAGACTCCCCACAGGCAAACGAGGAAGACACATATAGGCATAAGGAGTTTTGCTCAAATTAATAGGATTGCCATCTAGCCTGATGTCTTCAAGGGATTTACGGATATATGAATAATCTTTCATTTTGCAGAAAGTATCTTCATGCATTTCTTGTATGTTGTTATTCTGAAAAGGAAAGTGAAATATTGATGAAGACTTATACAATTCAATATACAGGCAGTCATTGAGTTACAAACATCTGACTTACAAACGGCTCATAGTTCTGAACAGGAGTGAGACAACAGGAAGTGAGATAAATTTACTATGAAAAGAGTTGTCATGGGGAAAAAGTGTCTCCACTGAAGCTTTCCCATCAAACCTTGCTTTCAAAATTCAGTTCTCACAGGGATAGAAAGTGAGGTGAAATCTTCTGAACAGGGGCACAGACAGCAAAGCAAATACCACAGGAGTGTTAACACTTTCCTATGCTATCCAAAGCACACACACACATATATAGACTAACAGATAGATAGAAATGATAGATAAATGGAGTTACACTTTCATACAAATTCAATTTAAGAACAAACTTACAGAACCTATCTTGTTTGTAACTTGGGGTTTGCTTGTATACATTTCCAACCTGTAAACTGGGCAAAGTGCAGTTTACAGACCTTACTTGTGTCCTCCTGAAACCCCACATCAACAGAAGTTTGGATCATTTTTTTTTTTTGCACCCAAATCAAACAGAAAGCTCCCTAAGGGCATGGAAACACAAATATGATTCCACCTCCACCTCCACCTCAGAACCTTATATTAACTTCCATGTTCTTGTTCACTCCCTTCCCAAAATTGTGATAGGAATTCAAAGGAATGCAGGAGGTACTGATCATGACACTGAAGTATTTGCTTGTGGGGGTGCATCTTGTGGGGAGTTATTGGGAAGAATTGGCCCCTGACCTTCATGCATTTGCCTACATCTATGCTGTTGTCAGCATAATCTCCAATTTAGAGTGATCTTAAACTGAACCCATCAAAGGATTTAGTTGACAAGATTTATTCTGACATGGTTTTTTGCCTTCTGATGAGGCTGAAAAGAGTGTGACTTGCTCATGGTTATCCAGGGCATTTCTATGATTAAATGGTTATTCCAATCCTGGTGGTTTACAAATAATGAGTTAACAATAACAGAAGGCAGACCAGGGCCACATAACAGAATTTCAGTAATAGATGTTATTTGTCACTTTCAGAGCTATAACATTTCAAGATTTCCCATTTGTTGCCAAAATTCAACACATGTGAATCACAACTACAGATTTATTTAAGACAAAATAGCCACACCGGTCTGTTTCACAATTTAAAAGAAGAAGTATGCATGTGTCGAAAGGCTGCTAAATTTGCTGTCAATTATCTGTCAAGCATGAAAGCAGTACATCCTGCTTTCTGGAAAATTAGTTCTGTTGACAGCAGAGTCTTTTCTCACAGAAACTTTGTTGTTTTGTTGTTGTTGATTCAGGCCCCTTCTACAATGCTATATAAAATCCAAATTATCTGGTTTGAACTGAATTATATAGCAATGTAGACTCTTATAATCCAGTTCAAAGCAGATAATTTGATTTTATATGCTAATTATGGATGGAGCCTCAGAGCCATAGCTTTCCTGACTTGAAATGTGGTCTTCATCTTTTCCCACTGCCTTCTACCTTTCTAAGCATTATTGTCTTTTCTATTGAGTCATATCTTCTCGTGAATGGTTCAAAGTAAGGCAGTCTCAGTTTARTCATCTTGGTTTTTAGGAGTGTTTAGGCCTGATTTGCTCTAGAACCAGCTTAGTCACATTCTTAGTTATCCATGGTATCTGCTGAACTCTTTTCTAGCACCACATTTCAAATGAGTTGYTTCTGTCTCTCTCAACTTTCTTCACTGTCCAGCTTTCACTGACATACATAGACATGAAAAATGTAATGGGATGGATCACCCTAAATTTAGTATTAAATAATCTATCTTGTTACTTCAGGACCTTGTCTAGTTTTTTCTTAGTTGTCCTTTCAAGTTATTGGGCTTGTCTATACAAGCCCAAACCCCAAGACTCATCCTGAATAGATTGCTGGCTCTCATTATGATGCACAGTGGCTTCTAGTGAGTTTCATGGGTTTCTTTCTATTTTAAACCAACTCTGACCCACTTTTAGCAAAATCGGAAGATGTATTAAATATGTATGGACTGAAATCTGAAAAAAACTTTTGGTAAAAGAAATCAGATGTTTTGAATATGCGAACTCTTTGTTTCCTTTTTGAGTATTAATATCTAATCTGGGATGCTAGTATAGGTTTGGGTTGTTGTAGGGTTTTTTCGGGCTACATGGCCATGTTCTAGAGGCATTTTCTCCTGACGTTTTGCCTGCATCTATGGCAAGCATCCTCATCAATATACTTATCCATCGATATATTAATCATTGATAGTTGTTGCCCACCTGAAGATGAAGTGATTGGAGATTTTCAGGGAGTGGAAGTGGGATATGATCTAAGTTGTTATCAGTGATATAAAGGTAGTGCAACTCCGACATATCCTAGAAACAATAAGCAAACAAACAAAACAAATTTAGTTTATGCAGAGATTCTCTAAATTTGTGTATCTATACCTTTCAGTGAATCAGTGAGTATCAAAACAAAAACTTGTTCCTAATGACATCATATCCTTGCAAACCATTTTATACTTATTGAATCCATAAGTAAACTAAAATGTCTTTCCAACTTTGGACCTTATGGCTTGAAACTGAGCATGCCTTCATCAGATGTTACTTTGTCTTGCAGAGGTTGTTTCACATTATGATCTTGTGCAATGATTCCATTGACAAAGATATGACAATGCTACCCTCCTGAAAATACAACCATTTCACAATGCCTAAATTGTGTGAGAGGAAGGCAACTGTGTAGTCCCCTTTTGGTTTATAACATTGTAAATTCCCAACAGGATGCCAGTCTTAGGTTCCTTAGACCCCATCTATACTGATCATTTAATGCAATTTCAAACTGGTATTGAAGGAAGTGGTTTCACTGTGCAGATGATTGCATAGGAAATCTTGCAACCAGTTGAGGTCTGGGTAGTGACTACACAAACCACAAGAGGTAAAACATCATTTTTAAAGCTCCTTTGCATAAAAATAAATAAGTAACCCCACAAATGTGGAAATAACCACTCTGTCGAGGTTCTGAGCTACTGGTGCACATTAAGGTCTTTCTTTTGCACGCTTTTTGGGGAGTTTGTTGTCTGGCTGCCACAGTTTGAAGCTAGCATTGAACTACATTCAATGGTTAGTGTAAATGGTACTTTAGAAATAATGGGTCTAGTTTCCCCCCAAAACTGTAAATAATCCAATTTATAACTTACTTTAAATGCTTCCTGCTTTATCCCCTTGCGACCCAATATGTTGTTACTAATATCAATAAAAGTAAGAGTTGGTGGTAATTCTGGAAGCTGCCTTATCCTATTATCTCGAAGTATTAGCTCCTGAAGTTGTGGCAGATTTCTGAAGGCATCTTCATCCATTTCAGATATAACATTAGAAGTCAAATCAATCCTTTTTAAGTGGCCTAGCCAGAAAAAGTTAAGTAGGAAAATAATTAGAATGTTCTTAAAATGTAGGGGTTTTTTTGCTTTAAAAACAAAAACTAGAAAAGTTACTCTTTTAAAAAAAAGATAGAGATCATTACTCTTTTTAAAAAGATAGAGATCATTATAGTAGTTCTAATTATCAAATAGGCTATAATTTAACTAAGAGGTATATATGCTTCTATTTCATTACAAGCTAATTCCTAAAATAAGCTATAGTGACAATTATTGTCAGCATTGATTCATACTCAGGTTAGCAAAGTCATCTCTGTTGACCTTCTTGATTCTATTGTAGCGGGAGTAGAAATGGGTGGTTTCCTTGGGCAAGGGTGGAAGAGCCTCGAGTTCACGATCATCGCAGTACACAGAAGTACCCATACAGGTACAGAGAAGACAAGTTGGAAGGCCTAAAAATGAAATGGAAATTTAATTTGAAGTACAAAGCTGAACTGGCATATTCATAGAATCATAGAACAATAGAGACCACATGGGCCATCTAGTCCAACCCACTTCCATGTAGGAAAAGCACAAAGTACCCTCCAATAGATCCAGAAACTGTTTAAAAGCTTCCAAGGAAGGAGCATCCACCATACTCTGAGGCAGAGAGTTCCACTGCTGAACACCTCTTACAGTCAGGGAGTTCTTCCTAATGTTCAAATGGAATCTCCTTTCCTGTAATTTGAACCCATTGCTCCAAATCCTAGTCTCCGGGTCAGCAGAAAACAAGCCTGCTCCCTCCTCTTTATGGCATCCTTTCACATATTTATATATGGCTATCAAGTTTCCTCTCAACTTTCACTTCTTCAGAATTTTGTGGTATGAACTGTATACATAGCATGTCTTTTTGTTGTCACATGTATAGCACAAGGCTACTCCTTTTTAATGGCTGTTCAAGGCTAACAAGCACATGCCTGGGAGCAACAGTACAGCTGATCAATGTGTTTGTGTGGGTATGAAGTTGCACTTGGAAGTATTCTAGTTGCACATCTATAAAGAAGACCTTGTGGGAAGAGGTGGGTTTTTCCTTTCATGACACCCTCAAATGTAGTTGTTGTAACTGAGGATATGGAGAACATATACCACCAATAGGACTCTACTTTATTTAATGTAGAATCCACCTTGAAAAGTCTGATACATATACTACGATCAATACATATATCATTGTGGAGCTTCTTTGCCTTAGTTCTGTGCACACAAAATCAATGTATAGGCCAAAGTCAGTCTGTGGGTTCTTGTGGCTGTAAGTAGACAATAGACATGCACCTAATAATGAAACCTTCCCCATTATTTTAATAGACTTTTCCACTCAGATGAACACTGACATTTGGCCAGATCTGGTTAGTATATGTTATCATTCTCTAATTAAAGGGCTGATTTATTTGTTATTTGTATATAGCTTTCCCCCAATTGTGATGGTCATGCCTACTGAATATGTTCATGGCATTTAACGACTGCATTGCTTTCCTCATTTTGTGAAATAGTATTAGCTAGACAACCTAAATTATCTAAAAAAGACACAGAGCAAATAAAAATGCTTTAAGGTTTTAAATGAGTGCTACTGTTAGAATATGAGCCAAAAAATGGGTTCCTAACATGTAGAGTAGAAATGTATAGAATCCTACGCCTGGCCTGGAGTGCAGTACTGTGGACCGGTCCCAGGGACAGCCAGACCATCCAGCAGGTCTGAATCCAGTTTGGCACCAGTGGACAGACATCCTTACCTTTGTGGTCCTGTTGCCATCATAGGCTTGGCCATGGACCTCCAAAGAGCTCGTGGCCATCCCTTGCATCTTTGCTGACGTTAGCAAAATCACTTACAGGAGTCTGAAAGGAGAGAGGTATAGGAGTGGATTGATGCCCCCTCCCTTGCAGAATCATGCCAATGCCTTTGCTAATGATGGTAAAGGTACTCTGGGCACCCAGGAGTTCTTCAAGGCTTCATAGGTGCACTGTAATGGCAACAGGATTTCAAAGTAAGTGCTATCCTCTTGTCCCTTCACCATGAAGAGCCCAGGGAAATTGGGCTAGTTCCATTTGAGAAATGTGGGGCTGCTCCGGAACTTCAAAGAAGCTCAAGTGTATTCCTAGCTGTTGCCTAATGCAGAGCACAACCGGAGCCACAAAGCCTATTCTCACACACTCTGAGTTTGGGTGCCCATGTAGATTGGCCTTAAGTTATATTCACTTCCTTAGACTTTCTATGAAAGTGGGTATTGCATGGAAAACGTTCTTAAATTTCCTGCATGTACATTTAATCAATTTTTGTCATTTTCTTCACTTAAATTACATGGACATTAGGAAAGGCATCTGGATGACTCTGGGAGGGAAGGGGGAGCACCCCTCTCCTATACCCCTCTCCTCTCAGACTCGTGCAGGTGCCTTTGCTAATGCAGGAAGGATACAATAGAGCTGTTTAAATTAAATAACATTGACAAACTAACAGTAATCAATCAAGTTTTTTATTGTTTAGGACATGTTGCTTCTATACAATCAATCATATTATAATGTATAATAAAACTATCTGCAGTCTTTTATAATGATGGTGAGAGATGACTCTATTATTATTATTATTATTATTATTATTATTATTATTATTATTATTATTATTTCTTATCCACCTCTCACCATAGCTTGAGGCAGGTTACAACATTGCTAAAACACATAAAACACACATTTAGTCAGTGTTAGGTGGCTACCTCACACTGCAGAGGCTAGAGGTTGGGAGGCTGGTTGTCTGTGAGAACAGGTGTTCTGCACTCCTTTAACTGTTGTTTTCAGGTGTACTGGAAGATATTGCCCTTTTATTAAGGCTATATATGTGGTTAGTTTCTATACCAGTAAAGATGCTGGTGGGATCCATCTTGCCATGTAACATATCTTGGGTTAGTTAAACAAAGATTTCTTCTGCATTTATGCACTTATACACTAGACTTGCACACAGATTTGTTTTGGCTGTTTGTCTTCTGTTTCTTTAGCTTGTTTGAATGGCCATAACAGCAAGGGCACAGTCGCCATGTTCTTTTTTTGTTGTTTAAAATGGCCCACATGGCTGCTGGGCACACCTTCCCTTCTATTTGGGAGCACATGGTACACAGAGAGGCTGCTGCATGTTCGCATGGAGTTTCCCTGTGAGCCCTACTTGTTGAGCCAGTCAAAGAATGACAGGTAATGCCTTATGCAAACTGTGTTTATTTCATGGGGGGAGTGCCTCCATTTCTCAGTTGCATCCTGATTGAAGTCTAGAGAGAGGTGCTTCAGTCCGATTGTCTTGTTCTCGCGCTCAGCTTTAGCTTTTGGCTTGACTTCTAGTATTGATTTTTTTTATTTTCCTTTATTTTCTTTATTCTTTATTTAATAGTACTGGAAGTTTGAAAGTGTGGGTGGGCTGGTACAAGGCGTTTGTGGGTGTGCTTTTCTTTTAGGGTGATCCCGAGCTTTGAGTTGCCTTTTAGCCTCTACTAAAGCCTTTAACTTCTTCTCTTATCGCTCATCCCTCGTCTCTTTCATCACTTTTAAAAGATCATTATTTTTATTCAGAATTATAGGAATTCCAGCAAACAGCAAATTATCATTCTCAGAAAAACTACTTACTTACCTACCTACCAAAACTTACCACGAATATCTAATAATTTCTGGTTCATATGGGAGTGTTTTTCTAATAAGGGACATGCTGCTTGCTTGCTTGTGGATGGCAGGTAGCTGGCCTCTTGCATTATGTTGGGAAAACGAGAAATCAAACTGCAAAAGCTTTGGAAGGAGTTACTGTTGTTTATTTATTATAGTAAAGAAAGTGTAATTGTAATAGTGGGTGGGCTGTGTGATGTGTATCTTTGACATTTGACAGGAAGGAATGCTACTCTGTTGCTGGTTCTGGAGAAGTTACAAGGTGGGACCAACGGGGGATACCTTTTTGGGAATTTTTTAAGGAGATATTATTTCTAGAAAGAAAAAATCCTAAAAATCAGAAGATGACCCAAACATTATGAAACTTGTTGGACTAGCAGTGGTAGATGTCTACTCCAAGTATGGTGATTTTCATCCTGATAGCCCTGAAAATGATGGGAAGGAGAGCCCATGAAGCTTCCCATTGCTGCCAATGGGCTAGATCTAGCTGCATTTTTCAGCTGCAGATCTAAAACGGCTCTTGGCCTACCTGCTTGTTTATGGGAGGTATGTGAAAAAGCCCCTCCCCCCAAAAAACTGGGTAGCAGAAATGGATCGAGGTTCAGCCAAAATACACAAGCCTATTCTGTACTTCTTAAATGAACTTTTTTTGCCCTTGCCAGATTCCTCAGGCCATATCCATGATGACCAGACTATATTATAGCCTGAGGAACTGTGCCCTCCCTTCAAAACTTAATAAAGTTGCTTACATTTAGTTTAGTAACCAGCATGCTTTTTTGATGATTTTTGCGGAAATTGATTTTTCCCCTTTGAGATTTCAATTTCCTCAGAATTGTTTTTAATTATCATTTCTGATGCAGAACAATGACATCAGGAAAGGTTTCAATCATCCCTGGAGCTAAAATTGTTTGAAACCTGTGGATTATTAAACAAAGCATATAACTACAGCTGACTGAACATTAAAAAGAGATCTGAAGCATTTAATCTAATTTACGAAAGACTTTTAGTAACAGGTGTGCTGATATAATTGGAAAGAACTCTTCATTTCTATGTTGCCTTAGGAACCACAATAGGAAAACGGTAATATCAGTGTACGGTGAATATGAAAATGATTTTGGGTAAAGAAGAAAAATGGAAGACTATCACACATTTCTGGAAAATGTTGCATACAAATTTTTGGTCTATAGTTGTTTGTGTTAATACATTATATATGAACCTTTGGCATTGATCAAAAAGCAACAAACATATTATATATAGCATTACTAATTAAAAACCCATGATACCTTATTAGCAGTGAAGGGTATATTTGGTGGCATAAGTATTTTGTCCTTCCCATCCCCAAATTACCCATTATATTAACTTTATTACGCTCGGTTTGTACTCCAGGTGTAAGGCATCTCATTTACCCAGTTCCCTTTCTAATGCTTATCTTTTTCCAATCACTATTTCTTTTCTTATTCCTCTTCCCATTTTCTTATCACCTTTATTCTAATTACTGCATGGGTTGGAATAAATGACCCTAGCATCTCCTTTCAACACTGAAATTATGTTATTCTAATTCAGAGTCCCCCAAAGTCTCATGATGCTTTCTTTTCATATTGCATTGTCCAGAACACTTGTCTGTCTAGAACTCGACTCTCGCCATTAATCCCAATAAAAGAGGGTGGACCCTCATTCTCATCTCATCCTTGTTCTCATCTTGCACCTTCGGTGGTGGTTTGGACTCTTTGAAAGCTGCTATTTCTTGAACTTGACATGAAAGCCACCAGATCTCTTCACTCTTCAAAGGTAGATGTTTGTGTTTCCATAGTTCTTTTCAACTATTTCTCAGCACATCCACTATGCTCACAATATGTTTGGAGGGTTTAATACAAAATGCTATTCCTAAGACCTGTTCTTATATTTTGACACAACCTATCAAAAAGTGACAAAAGAAATCTCCCAGGAAATGGCACTGTCCCTAAGGACAGTTCATCTTATTTTTATTGGTAATGAGAGTAGGGTCTAATCATATGCAAATATTGAAATATATACTGTGGTTGTCTTAACTTCATTTTTATATCACCAGTGGTTTAGATTTTCAATAATTTATTTCACGTTTCAGGTGTTTGTAAGGAACAAATGATATTTTAATATAATGGTGCAATTTCATTGCTTCTAAATTACCTATCAGGAATTTAGAAGTAATGAAATTAATCTAAAGTACAAAGAATACATGATCTTCCAAAGAGTCCAAAGATAAATGCTGAATTCAGTTAGTTGAAGACCCCAAATCTTTGCTAAATATATGGAAGATGACAATAAAGTTTCCTAATTTTCTTTCACAAACCTTCATGTGTATGTGGGCCAAGAACTCCTGGTTCATGGGGTGAAGACCCATCAATGAGTTTGGATGTGGAAGCTTCTTCTTCTGTATCTTCTGGCAAAGGTGAAGGCAAATAAACCTCCCCTGTTATGTATGGTAAAATAGTTCCAATTTCTGTCTAGATAGAAAAACACATATATTAAGTAATCCAATCTATTTTCAGTAAGTTTGTCATATATCAGCTTTGGATGTAATTGGAGTAGGTTATAACTGGAGGTTCCATTGCTGCTGGGTTACCTATAGAAAAAAAAAGGGGGGGGGGTGAAATGTTCAAAAATGTGTTTCCTCTGGTACCATGTCCATTTGGTCACCAAGTTTAAGAAAGCAAGATTTGGTTAATACAAGATTACTGTGTCTTGGTAAGAAATTTTATGCCACCTTTGAGGAAATATAGAACATGTGTATGAAGTATGCATTTTAATTCTAAATTCTGGGAAATGAAACATTTGCAATTTCTGAGATAGGATGTACCATTCATCATCTTGCTGCCTTGACCTTCCTGTTCCAAAGCTGGAGTCACATTCTTTGAATAAATCTGTTTGTTTCTCAATAATATCTATTATGCATGAGCCCAAGTCGTTTCTTGCAAGAAATCCCTAAATCACTGGCCTTTTTAAAAAGATAATTCACATAGGCTTTATTTCTTTCTCATCAGAGAAAAAAAATGTTAGAAACAATTAGGTCATTATATAAATAATTGCTTCAATATTTGTGGATGCCCAACACAGTCTAATAAAAGTGTAGTATTTTGAGTATTGGTCTAGGACACTGGGAGACCAGGGGTTGAATCCCCACTTAACCATGGAAACTCGCTGTGTCTCCTTGGGTAATTCACATCCCCTCAGGCTCAGAGGAAGGCAAGGACACCCCACCCCCAACCCTGGACTAAAACCCCATGATGGTTCAGTTTAATGTCATGAAGACATGCAATAACTGTAAAGGAGTCTGAAGCTTGTGAATCTTGAACTTAGCTCTCTTTCCCACTGTTTTTGAACTGGAGGAGACGTTGAGAGGCAATTTGCACAATATTGTACAGTGTACTGGTCTGCTGTTCAAGAGTAGAGTCTTTCTAAGTATATATAGGTTTTATGGGATACCTATAATCAGGCATGTAGCCGGGGGGGGGGCGGGGGGGGGGCTTCAGCCCCCCCCCCCCAAATTCTCATGGTGGTTCGCGAAAAGGCCTTACTGGTGCATTACTTAAACTGTTATGTTTATTCATATCATGATCTGATCACCATACTCAATATATCCCATATGCATGGGGGTATTGGGGTAATGATACAAAAGGTTTGCTAGGGTAGACCCTCTTTCACTCAGACTCGCCCCCCCGAAATTCAGCCCCCCCCCCCCCCCTGAAAAATTCTGCCCCCCTCCCCCCGAAACAAAATCCTGGCTACGGGCCTGCCTATAATTAAAAATGGTTGATCATTTTGGATTTTTCTTCTTCCCCATCTTTTTTAAAATATGAAATCTCAAGTACTTTCCATCAAATTTATGGTGCAATTTTTGAATGTTGGAAAGGTATTATTTAAAAAAAAACAAGTAGAATTTGATCATTAAATCAATAAACAGAAGAGATTGAAAAAATAGTTTTATGGTCATATTCCACCACTAGATGGTGCATATGACCTAGAACACAAGGCTAGTGTTTTACTGATTGTTGCATCTCTATCTCCATTTTTGAAACAATATCATATTCTTCTTGCATTTACTTTAATTTTAGATTTTATATTAAATATGTCGGACTCATTGGACCTTCTATTAGTAAGGATTTTATTCTCATACTAGATAATTTAAACTCAGAAAACTGGTATTAAAATGTAAGATACAACAAAACCTGAGAGCTATTTATTTTTAAATATGCAATTGCCAAATGTTCTGTATTTTCAGTGTGATGGAATTGACTAAGGAAGAAATAAGTTAATGATGAATTTACTACTACTTGAGAAGTACAAATTTGTTCCCAGATATTAAAGGCTTGTTTATACTGTAGTCACGAAATCCAGCTTACTAATAGACTGTGAGTGAGGTATTTTTGCTCTGCCTAACCCATCTCTTAGGATGCTTTCAGACAACAATTTAATGTGAGTGAAAATGAGTTAAGGTAACCCATTTTCACCCACATTGCTGTCCCCACACCCAACCCGCAAAATGGGGTTTTCCAGTTGAGTGTCCCCAGGCTCTCTTTGTAACTCCTAATGTGGTATGGGCCTTCTGCAGTCCTGGGGTCAGTTCCCACAGCCCTCTCGGTTCACCTGGCATTCAAAGAAATGAAATGATGTGCCAGGAGGCGGAGAGCCCCAGGAGAGATTTGGGCCACCCCCACCTCCTGGCACATCATTTCTACTCACTAAGAGACCTGCTGGAGAAGCCCAATTGTGCCCAATAAGTTTTTACTTATTTTAAGGGCTAGGGGGTGAGAAGCAGGGTGCCCTCCTCTGTTCTCTGGGCTTTTGGAAGCCTGAAGAACCAGATGGTCTGTGGGGATTGACCCCAGGACTGCAGAAGCAGTCCTGTGGGTCGGTCCCCACAAAGCCCATACCCCGTTAGATCCAGGCCTTTCAGGATCTAATGGGGTTTCAAGTTAATCCTCTTTTACCTGAGGCATTGTTTGGCTGCATCAGGTAAAAGTCCAACAGGGCCCTTAGACTCAAAAGTTTGATAAAAGTTTGTATGTAGCTGATACATCACATAGTCCAACGTGTGATCCAATACAACAACCAGCATAGTGATCTTGTTTGCTGCGCACTAATCTTGTTGTGTTTCAAATAATAATTACATAAATTAGTACAAAACTGATTAAAATAGAAGGGGCACAAGCGGCTTAATATCTTTTGACCAAAAATGGGTAACAGCAACCGCATTTTCTGTAGCCTCAAACAATTCTTTCTCTGAACATGAGGCAGGACATTGTGGACAAGTATACATATGCGGAGTTGTCTGTTATCCTCACACAAGTTGGAGGATTCATTTAAATAGTGCCATTTTGCCAGGTTGTCTTTTGATCTCCCCCTTCTACTCCTAAGTCAGTTCAGAGACTTCTAAGTTGCCCATTCTTGGTTTGCCCCTGGAGGCATACTCTCATAGGGTTCTATCCAATTATGATTTCCTGCTTTAGCTGCCCAGGTTTAACAACAACAACAACAACAACAACAGAATATTCTTCTCTTAGGGACAGATATGAAGGACAGTGATTAGATAACAAATTGTGAGGTAAGATACAACATGGTATGTGATGAGAAAGTTCCATCACTAATTTCCATTGCAGGACTAACTTGTATGATTTTTCTTTCTCAAGGGAAAGGCTTGATATTAAACAAGCATATCACGTTTACTACACATTACTTCAACCATATTTATTTATTTATTTATTTACTGCTCTTATATACCGCAATTCTCAGCCCAAGGGCGACTCATTGCGGTGTACAACATAAAAACAGGTGCAAATTACAAGACATAGTGCAAGATATCCACAATCATCATTATCAAAAACATCTTATCAAACATCAACAATACTACAAAATTTCTACTACATTCCGAATCGTCTCATCGTCAAACCCACAATCCGATATCATTTCCGTTGTTCCATTCCTATGGTCAAATTCCAGTCATTGCACTTCTTGATCAAATGCCTTCTTACACAGCCAGGTCTTTAACTTCCTGCGGAATATCAACAGGGAGGGAGCTAGCCTGATGTCCACGGGAAGGGTGTTCCACAGCCGAGGAGCCACCACCGAGAAGGCCCTATCTCTCATCCCCGCCTGCCTGTGACGCAGGCGGGATCGAGAGCAGGGCCTCCCCGGAAGATCTCAAAGTCCTCGTCATAGGCCGAGAGGCAGTCAGCTAGGTAGCTTGGGCCGGAACCGTTTAGGGCTTTATAGGCCAAGCCAGCACCTTGAATTGAGCCCAGTAGCAAATCGGCAGCCAGTGGAGCTGGCAGACAGGGGAGTTGTATGCTCCCTGGCCGCGCTGTTAGCAACCTGGCTGCCAAGCGCTGGACCATTTGAAGCTTCCGAACAGTCTTCAAAGGCAACCCCATGTAGAGAGCGTTGCAGTAGTCTAAGCGGGATGTAACCAGAGCGTGGACTACCGTGGCCAAGTCAGACTTCCCAAGATACGGGCACAGCTGGCGCACGAGCCTAAGCTGTGCAAATGCTCCCCTGGTCACCGCCGAGACCTGGTGCTCCAGATATGCACATACCTCTGCTCTGAGGTCATGATACACTGTGTTATTCCAAAATCTGAAACCCAAAAACTTCTGGTCCCAAATATTTCAAATAATAGAAACTTAACTTGTACTGACCTATTACCAGTGCTAGGCTGAACTGTCATCAGTAATGATATGGATTAATTGTTTCAGCATTCAGGAATCCCTCATATGTTGGTCTTGATTTTTTGATTCTTATATATCAGGAGCCTCTAGTGGTGCTTGGGCCATGTGTCTGTTGATACAATGGCTCCTCTGCATCTGCACTCACTTTTGTAATGTACTTCTCAGTCATGATGAGGAGTACATTACAAATAGACTGAGATTTACCTTAAGTACACATATCACAGAGGAAATAGTAGCTTAGAATTGGCATGGTATATATAATGGTAGCCATCTATTTTAGCTAATTAAAAAAGGAGAAACAAGGCAGCAGCTAGCTGTTGTTTGCTAGTAAAACATGTATAGAAACTGCTATGACGCAGACTTTTTAAAATATAGTGAAAATTTCTATGGAGCTTTAATTTCAAATTAAGTTTTGGCAGTTATAATTAACTTTTTTTGGACAGTGGTCTGTAACAGCTGCGTGGCAAGCTTAGATTCTAACTATACAAATAATTGCTCTTCAGATTTTAACAATTATAGAGTAACTGCTTTTGGCAGACACAACTGTTGTAGGGTCCCTGTAGAAGGCAATGGGGAAAGAGTGATCCACAGTCTATCTGGTACCCATCCTCATTTCAGCAGACTTCACACCCATAACCATAATTTCTAAAGGGGCATTCTTTTTTWAAAAAAAACCTATCTATCTATCTATCTATCTATCTATCTATCTATCTATCTATCTATCTATCTATCTATCTATCTATCATCTGCTCATGGAGGTTTCAAGAACTGAAGGATTGATA